TCAAAATGTCCTTCTGGGCATGTAAATGATGTCCATTTAATACTTTCTGGATGCATTTTTACTTGCCAAAATCCTGACTTTAAATAAACTTACTAAAAATTTTACAATCTTGTATTTTATTTATTAACACTGTCTTATCTGGTATATTATAAGCATCGTCTATGGTATTATCATTTAGTCTTTTATAATTAATAACCATTCTACTTTTTCCTCTAACAATTTCTGAATGTTTTCTAACTATAAAGGCTGCTGATCTATGAGGGCTATCTGATTTTCTAATAACTCCTAATTCCAAAAGTTCTTTTATATGTGTTTTAAAATCTTCTAAATCTAAGTTTGTAGCTTCAATATTTTTAGTTTTAATTATGTATTCTGGGTTTTTAATTTTTAATTCACATAAGATTTTATCTTTCTCCCAATATTTTAAAACATTTTCTCCTATTATTTCCATTTTTTCTAATCTGAAGATTAAATTTTCTATTTCTTGTTCTGTTATTAACATGTCATAAATCTTTTCATTATCAATTAATTCTATAATTCCAAAGTCTATATTTTCTAGATTATCTAATTCATCTTCTTCTAAAATTTTAGAATTATTTTCTTCTATCAACTGACATTCTCTTTCTTTTTCACACTTACAATTATTATTATTATTACTATTACTTCCACCACGCTTCTCTATGCACTCTGATGGGAAATATGTAAGCTGTGTAGGTGTAAATAAGGTATGTTTTTGTAAATGTAAAAAGTCTTTAGTAATTGTTACACTTCCATTATCTTTTAATAAAAAACTTAATCCTATAATAAAATCTGTATCTTTAATATTTAAAGGTCTAACCCAAATTGANATAATCAGATTCTTTATTTTCTTCTAAATCTCTGTCTTCTATTGATATAATACTATAAATAGATTCTTTATCTGAAATATATTTATCTAATTGTATTAAATCTTCATTAGTACATTCTATTAGTGTACTCTTTTTATCATAATTATTTATTCTTTTTGGACAGGTCTTAGATAAATGTTAATTACTATTACAGACATAGCAACTAAGTCTATTTTTATAAGTTATTTCTGGTTTAAATTTTCTAACATGTCTTTTTTCATCTAAGTATGGTTTTCTTTTATTAGATTTTTTAAGAAAGTATCTTTTCTTAAAAGGTCTTTTATTCTTTCTTTCTTTATTACTGTATTTATTTTTTCTTGAACTAGAGGCTCCATAAGTTTGTGGGGTAAAAATATTTTTACAAAATTTATAATCTGTCTTTTTAAGTTGTTTTTGAATTTGTAATTCTACACATTTATCTTCTAAACATCTTATTACATGTTGTATTTTTTGTCCTTTACTCCATTGTTTTTCTGGTTCTTCTTTAACTGCTGGCAAATTATTCCATTTATCTGTAATTTCTAATCCTAATGGTCCTGGTAGTTTATGAAATAACTTATTACCAATTTCTTGATTAAATGTATTTCCTGATATTGAAGTTAAATAATGATATTCATTTAAAAAATTCTTAACATATCTTCCTTTAGTCCATTTATAAAGACTAAGTTGTTCTAAATCTCTCATAACTTTTCTTTGTATACTCATATGTCCTGAATTAGGATCTGCTCCTGTTATTAATATCTGTATTTTATTAACAAAATTATAAGGATTACTTCTCATACTAACTAATTGTTCAAATTCTTGTTTCTTTTCTAATTTAAAAGCTTCCCACATAGTTTTTACACTTTCTCCTAAGAATGTTTCTAAATATCTATACATATCTAAAGCTTCCATTTCTTGAAAGTTTCTAATATAATGTCCTATTATAGTATTCTTCCATACATCTATTACATTATTCCATGTCTGTGGATCATATGCTGTAATATTTAAAATTTGTGCTTTATGGTCTGATTGAAATTCTATTTTCTTTTCTAAGGGTCTTTCACTTCCTCTTGCTATATATTTTCCTTCTGTATTATTATATAAAGGGTAAGCTCCTCTTGGGGGAAATCCTCCACTATAAACTATTGTTTCATGTTTTACTGTTCTATCAAAAGGAGTATCACTAAAAGTTCTATATGTATTTGAGTCTTCCATAAGTTCTTTTATATAACTAAAATCTGAGTTATCTGAATCATTATTTTCTTTAATAATTCCTATTCTTATATTTTGTTCTAGATCATAATATAAGTATTCAGATTCTGTAATTATCTTATTAATATACATTTGATCTTCTAGTTCTAATAATTCTTTATTATCTAAATTCATTCCTAATTCTTTTGGATAAATTATTCTATCAAATTCCTCATCTATTAGTTCTAGATGAACTTGATTTGGGAATGGTTCATTTTGTTCTTCCTCAGGATTGGTTTCTTCTTCAAAATCATTTTGTCTTTGTACTTGATTATAATCTAAAAATCTTAGACTAGTTCTTCCGTGAATATCTTTATAAGTTAATGCTTCCTGTGGTGCTATAATTGTTTCTTGATTTTTTAAAAATTTATCCATATCCCATTCTAATCCTGCTAATTATTCTGATGAGTATTCTTTAGGTTTAACCATATTAATTCCTTTACTACTCATTAAATTTACTACTTTATCTATATAAAT